GTTGTCAGTGTGGTTTATTTAGAACTTTATTAAAGGCTGAAAGAACTTTAATTGTTGATACTAAATGAGCTGAACCCTAAAAAGCCCTGAACATAAAAAAGATTCATAATGGGTATACTTGTATACGTAGCGCCCAAATCAACAATTTAAAAAAATTCGCATCATCACATTCTAGCGGGATTGCTGATTAAGTAAGAAGTAGATTTCAGCACTATTATCCTTGTTGAATTGAAATAAATGGCGCCTAAGCTGGGGCGCACATAAACTAGCATGTTCATATATCAAAATTATATTTCAGGGGGTTCAAGGCAGTGGTTTCATCCTTCTTACTCACTACACTCCCCCACTACTAGACTTTAGGACTTCAGTGTTGTGTCCTGTTCCGCTGCCTTTCGTGTCCTTGCTGACATGTTGTCGTGGTGTTAACGTTACATCGTTTGACTGCGAATTAAAATAATGTGCCACTTGTGGCTCTCTCATGTGTGCAAAGTTGGTCTGTGGCTGGCTCCACACACAGACTCCGGCATGTACCCGTGGGCGGTTGGTTTAGAGTGTGTGCTCGAAAATTTGACAAAATTTCGTTTGCCAGTTGGCCAATGTCCGTTGGCGTCGTGTAAGCCAACACGTCGTTACCCTAATCGAATTTGATTTGAACCCTCTTGGCGTGTGGCGTGTCCCTGCCATGAGATTGATGTGCAACCCTTTGCTAACTGCATTTGCTGCGTATGAGTTATTGTTTCATAATTTTGCAGTTTACGGGAATTGTTTATTGTCGGTTGTTGCACATGTTGGTTGGGGCTCGTCCGTGCTTGTTTGCTTTCCTCTTTAAGAGAGAACTCAGAGTATTAGTTCTAATGGACTTGCTGGCATATGTCCGTTCAATATGAAATGAAGTAATCACTAATAGAGATAAGTAAATCATTAGCCTTATTTTTGGTCTGTCCTCGAAGTTGATTTCAGTTTCAATAGTTAATGCATTATGTTCGTAGAAATATCGGAAGTATATTACATTAAAACAGACTTAACATAAGCAGTCCTTTTAGAAAGCTTCGGGAATAGTTCAATTTTGAATTCTATTAACGAGTCGAATCGATATAGACATGTTCGTCTGTATGAACAGCGATAACTTTTGGAACATAGCAGCTAGGGATACCAAACTTGGTGTGTGGACTTGCCTTATCAATATGCAAATCGAGTTTATCCCTAATCATATATAGCGTCATTATTTAATATAGCTCTCATAGGAACGATCACTCCAATTTTAAAATTGGTTGTTCGTGTTTATGAAGATATTCTAAAGAAATTGAGTGCTTATATGTTTTATATAGTGGTTCACGATATTCTGAAGTATTAAACGAAAAACATATGATAATAGCTGTCTTAGAAATCATCAGGGCAGAAATCAAGATAAAACGGCTTCTTTCAGCAAATAGAGCGACTCAACGCCTCTAGAATAAAGAAAAGTTTTTCTTGTTTGAAATCAATTAATTGAAAAATTATAT